AAAATACTAATAATAAAAATAATAAAATAAAATAATAAGATAAAATAATTGAAACTCATTTTATAACATTTCTGTTCCCTTTAAAAATGAGTACTGCGAATTCTAATTAATTCTAGCAGTTCTGAAAAATCTTCATCACTTAACTCTTCTAAGTTAGTGAATGTTATCTTCGTAGTGAAGTAAAGTCTTGATAGTTCACATATTTGGAAGATTTAATAAACTCGTTCAGAGTATTTCCATATTCTGTTAGCTCATCGAGGGTTTAAAGATTTCTTTAAAGTATTTCATGCATATTTTAGTCTTTGTCTATTTTCTTTAATACTTTCTCGTAGTTGTCCTAAGTAGTAGCATGCTTCAAGAGTTTTAAGAACTTGATCTCATTGTTTTCCTCAGTTTTCTTCTTTCAATTAAGAGATTATTTCCTTGAGTCTTTCTTTAAAGGTAGTTTCTATTAAGGGGTTTATCCTTATAAAAACTTCTTCTGTATCTTCTGTTATATCTTCGATGAATTTAGCAAGAAGGTTATTTGAGAAAGATTGATCTTCTTCTTGGCCTGATTCTTGGAGAGAGAATTCTTCTAAAATTCCTTCATTAGAATTTTCTTTTTCTTGTTAAGAGAGCATAGTTGTTTCTTCTGTTTCTAGGAGTTCATCTAAGTTTACATACATAAAAAAAAAAAACAATAATTCAATTAGAATTACATAATCAAAATTTAGAAAAAAGGCAATATTATGCTACAAAAAAATTTGACTTACCAATTGAATGATTACATCCACAAAGCCATTATCCAGAATATTGTAAAGATAATAGAGGTTCTTGTGTTTGGTGTCAGTTTCAATATATGGCTAATTATGAAAAACATGACAAAAATTCATCGCAAAGTAATATATGGTGTACAGTGTGTAATGTTCCTTTATGTATTAACAAGCAACGCCCAGATTGCTTTATTAAATACCATGAACATAAATAAATAATAAAAACAATATTTTTATACTTCTTTATAATGTCTTGTGTCATTTATATTATTATTTTTTTATATAGTTGTAATACATGTGACTATCGGAAAATTTCAGGGCAAATTTGCCCTGAATTTTAAACGGTTTAAGAGATAGGAATCTTAAAAAAACCGTGTGAAGTTTGCCGATATACGCGAATAAAGTTGGATTATAAGCCGAACTTGAGCAGGATAATAATGAAACAACTTGACGGTAATTGTTATGTTACTATTGTGTCATTCATACTCTCGTTTGTTCAATCTAAGAATTCAATTAATTCGGTTTTATACAAAGTTTACAGATTACACGAACTAGCAGTTACTTATGAATTTGGCGTGGTCTTTCTTTCAAAGTTCTTTTTTGTCTTATAATTTTCTCGTTTTTTTTTTTTTTTTCAAAATTTCAATCCTTTATATTTTATTTATGACAATTAATAAAATTGATAAAATTACAATATGTCGAAATTAAATTTTGTATTATAAGTTAAATTCTAAATATGAATAAAGCTATGATTGATGTAATAAAAAAGTTTAACTTTGTTATTGTGATAATAAATCTTTGAATTCGAATTAATAAATAATTTTTAACTGTTTTTTAACATGATTGAAGAATCAAATTTATATTCAAATACATCATCGCAAGCTGACATTCAGAATAGCAAGATCAATATACTAATCGTAAGCGTAAAAATTTTGACCGACCAATAGAAAAAATTTGGGAATATTATATAACCAGGAGTAATATTGGTTCTCGTAGCGTATCTTCTTATTGTTGTCCAAAGTCTTGGAGTTTTGCCATCAGAAAATTAAGTTAACGAATCAATTGATATTAATAATCCGTCTTTTTTCTCTGGTAAATTGCAAGCCGATCATTCATTAAAATTAATACGTAAATTCCAACTATATTATAGATCAAGAACGGAACCTATGCACGGCCGGCAAATTACTATGGTCGTTTAAGCAAGTTAATTACGGCAACAAACAGTAATCTTGAATTGTCTTAGAAATATGGATTACAATACAGAAGATTTAATAAATCGAAATGTTTGAAATGATCGATGAACCGGATTTATAATTAAATTTATAAACGATATAAAATTATTAAAAAAAAAAAAATATTACAATAAATTGTATATAGCGATAGCAATAGCAATTATACGTAATGAATGTAATTTTATTTATGTACGTATAATTATTTTACAATCGTTAAATATTAGATATGTAAAGTGATCATCATATCACATGCACTATGTTTGTAATTAAACCGACAAATACTGTAATAAATTATACAACTACAGTAGGTATTTAGATTATACGTATTGTACTTTAATTTCTATATATAATATTTAATTAATTAAAAATCCCATTCATCGATTATTTCGATTTATTAAATCTTCAGTATTATAATCCATATTTCCAAGACAATTACAAAATTACTGTTTGTTGCCGTATTAACTTGCAATTTACCAGAGCAAAATGACAGATTAGTAATATCAATTGATTCGTTAACTTAATCCTCTGATGGTAAAACTCTAAGACTTTGAACAACAATAACAAGATACGCCAATATTACTACTGGTTATATAATACGACCAAATTTTTTCTCTTGGTCGACCAACACTTTTAGGCTTACGATTAATATATCGATTGATCTTTCTACAGTATTCTTCTGAATATGTGTCAGCTTGTGATCAGTGTCAGTTTTAATTTTATGTTCTCAAAAAAATATTTTTTGCTGTTTACATAAGAAAAATAAAATTTTAATAATGAAAAAAAATTTTCGATGTCCTCAAGAACACTAAGAACATTGAACTTTCAACACTGCTTGTGATGATGCATTTAAATATAAATTCGATTCTTCAATTATGTTAACAAAACAAAATTATTTATTATATTCGAATTCAAATATTTATTATCACAATAACAAAGTTAAACTTTTTTATTACATTAATAATAGCTTTAATCATATTTAGAATATTTAGAATTTAATTTATAATACAAAATTTAATTATCGACATATTGCAATTTTATTAATAAAATATTTTTGCACCGAAAACATTTTGTTTATTGAAATTAATTAAGTTGACATCGCTAAAAAGATATTATATTTAAGATTTTTTTATAAATATAGTTCGTAAATTACGTAATTTTAAATAAAATATATAATAAACTAGGAAAATAGAAACTATTGAGGAATAAAAGAATTGAAATTTTGAGAAAAAAAACGAGAGTATAAATAACACGATAGTAACTTAACAAATTTTTCATCATTACCTTACTAATTTCATTCGCGTAGATCGGAAAAACTTCACAGGTGTTTTTTTGAATTCCTATAACAAGAGATATAGAGATACGTGAGCAAAAGATGTTCGTCATTATAGGGAAGTTCATAGCCAATCTTCCTCGAGAGTCAGCAGACCCTATTCAAAAAATCTCATAGGGGTTTAAATTACACACCCCGTTTTTTAAGACGGGGTGAAATTTACCGTTTCACCCTATGTCCCGTAATATTTTATACAATCACTTAGTTAGAAAGGAAGAACGTTCACAGTAGGCCGTCCACTGTACGTCAAGTCTGGTTACTTGACTAGTAACTTTCGCAAACTGTGGCCACGACGCGCTTCCAGTTCCTTTCTAACTATCTTAAAAGCAATATGCAAAAATACTAACCTGATTTTGAAAACTAGGTTTACCCAAAACACTAGTTTAATACGCGTAAGGAGGATTTAATTTTTATTTAATACGTGTATATATTAAGAAAATATAAAATATTAAGGGTCTAAGGGATTATACGAAGAAAATAGAAACTATGAAGGTTTTAAGGATTGGATTTTTGTTAAAAGTATTAAAAGGTCTGGTAGTTTTGGTTTTATACACGTGGTTTTTTATTCTAATTGACCAATAAAAATCGAGAAAATCAAATTTGCCATAATTAAGTTAATTGTAACGGGTGGCACTTATTTCATTTTATCGTCTGTGTCATTTCACCGACATTTTAGCCCGATTTAGGGTTAAGGTTTAGGCAGTTTTATATTTTCGGTGAAATTATCGTCGGTGAAATAATGCGAACCTAATTGTAACGACTTGTTACGCATCTTACTTGTAACAACTCATAATTTAACAAAATTTTATAGTAACGGTAATTTTAATATCAAATTAAAATTTTTTTTTAAATATCGATATAACAACTTTATTAAATATATTAATTATAACACCTAACCCTAACCCTAACCCTAAACTAATAAAAAAAATTATATAATATTATTAGCTAATACTAAGCTTGTTACAAATAACATTTATTCTAAAAATTTTTTATACTACAAACATTTGAAAATTTAGAGATTTTTCATTAAATGGTAGTGTTTTAATGCCTGTCAACCTTAATATAATTTTTACAAGAGAGAACCCTTCCTTTATTAACTGAATAAAAGGATCTCTCAATAAATATCTCTATACTAGACACTAATCACAATAAAATTTAATACTCTTCACACTATACCCATCCCATAATTAGTTTATAATATACTTCTTAAGAACTTCTGATGGACGCAGAAACGCAAAATTTGAAATGAAAACGCCTATTTGATGATTAAAAAGTGAATTCCCAGTAAAAGTTAGAGACTGGATCCGTGGATATACATGACTAAAAAATGAACAACCTAGTGTTCCAAATCGAAAATCGATTAATCATTTAGTTGGCCAAGTTAGCAACTAATCGATTGACTTTTACAAATGTACGATTAACTGATTGACCAACTAATCGATTACATTTTTTGGCCCAATTCAGAACACTAGAATAACCTATTTAAAAAATTAAATCATTAATAATCTGTTACACAAATTCACAAATATTTTAGATTAAATTCGTGAATAATCGTTGAATAACCTAGTGATTTACTGCACCTGCTGGTAGGCGGGTGACCCGGATTGAGTTTCAGCAACGAGTGGAATTGGGTGGGTCAACCGCGAGTTGACCGTGGCGGTGTGTCGGGGTTATGATCACAACCACCAACAACCCATAGATCAGACCCATGGGTCAACTTGTCTAGCTTTAAACCTTAAAATCGTACCTAGTAGAAATTGTATGTAGAAACTCAGATGGCCCGAATAATTTAATGTTGGCTATTGTTCGTATCTGGACTAATAAAACTAATATGGACAAAATATTGACAGTAATTTGTTAATTGGACATATTGAATATGGACTATGTCCAAATTGGTCAAAAAATATGGACATAGTCCAAATGCCAACACTGTTTAATTTAATAAGAATACCCAACAATCCGCTGTAATAACACAATTTACATTATACATTCACGATTATCTTCATAGGTATCTATTTGAAATCAGGCTATTCACCCAATGATATTCGTGGATGACTGAAACCTGTGGATATTCACTGAATATCTATAATGGATATTCAACGGATCCAGTCTCTAAAGGCGCTTTTCCTGGAGATCGTTACCATCTTGTAAAATTATGAAAAGTTGCTAACTATGAGGTTTACTGTATATAAAAGATTATATATAAAAAGCGAATAAGTACGTCTCAAATGTGTTTTGCTCGATTTTAAGTTTCGTGAATGGCAGCATATAAAAAAATTCTATTCAACTCCAGTTTCTCATCTGTCTATATTAGGAATTTACAACCCAAAGGTAAAGATTGGATTAAGTGTACTAAAATAATTTTTGTTGCAATTTCGAATATCAAAATTCATGCAAAATACAATAACTATATGAAACAGCTAATAGAATAAATGTTATTATGTACTGTATTATAAATGTTATATATTTAAATATATGAGTGACGGGAAGGGAAAACCTGTAAATCATCACTTATTGTCATTACAGTGAATTCTATCCCCGTAAAAAATTGGGTGAATGAAGATCTAGAACAATCACAGGTTTTCCCTTCCCATCACTTATATCATACAACTAAGTATTTATATTATACTGTACGGTAATTTCGCTATAATTGCTATCGCTATATACAATTTTATCGCTATACAATTTATCGTAATATTTTTTTTTAATAATTTTTATATCGTTTATAAATTTAATTATACAGTAAATCCGATTCATCGATCATTTCAAGCATTTCGATTTATTAAATCTTCTGTATTATAATAGACAATTACTGTAATTAACTTGCAATTTACCAGAGATGACGGATTAGTAATATCAATTGATTTGTTAACTCCAAGACTTTGGACAACAATAACAAGATACGCCACGAGAACCAATATTACTCCTGGTTATATAATACTCTCAAATTTTTTCTCTTGGTCGACCAAAATTGTTACGCTTACGATTAATATATTTTCTCTGAATATGTGTCAACTTGCGATGATATAAATTCCCATGTTAAAAAAAACAAGTTAAACATTATTTATTATATTCGAATTCAAAGATTTATTATCACAATAATAAAGTTAAACTTTTTTATTACATCAATCATAGCTTTAATCATATTTTAGAATTTATAATACAAAATTTAATTATCGATATATTGCAATTTTATCAATTGTCAAAATATTTTTACACTGAAAACATTTTGTTTATTGAAATTAATTAAATTGACATCGATAAAAAGAACGCTAAGATATTATATTTAAAAAAATCTTTTTTATGAATATAGTTCGTAAATTACGTAATTTTAAATAAATATGTAATCGTATTAGTTCGTGTAATCTGTAAACTTTGTATAAAACCGAATTAATTGAATTCCTAGATTTGAACAAACGAGAGTAAGAATGACACAATAGTAACATAACAATTACCGCCAAGTTTTTTTTTTTTATTATTATCCTGCTCGAGTTCGGCTTAAAATCCAATTTTATTCGCGTAGATCGGAAAACTTCACATGGTTTTTTTTGGATTCCTATAACAAGAGTATACAGATATACGTGAGCAAAAGATGTTCATCATTATAGGGAAGTTCATAGCCAATCTTCCTCGAGAGTCAGCAGACCCTATTCAAAAAATCTCATAGGGGTTTAAA